GACCGGGGGGGGGACTAAAAGTCGCCCGCGCCAACTTTGATGTCACCTAGCGTCTGAACGGCTAGCCGTAGAACGACCAAACTTGGTGACTTTTCCTAAAATATTGTTGGTAACAATTCTCCATCATTGGAATAAGATAATAATTTTTTGTGTTGCCATGGCAACGGGTTTCTGACAGGCATTTTTTGCTAAATTTAGTAATTTTTGTTTCAAGAATAGAATTTTATGGGTTTTATGTCAAGTTACTCATGGTTTCTAATATTAATAACATCCCATATGAATTTATGTAAATTTTATCATTAAATATGCATAATTTATGCTAATTTGATGACGTCATTGGCCAAAATCCAAGATGGCGGACCATATCATTAGAACAGGTATATACAAGTTATTTTCCTTAAAATTTCATCAATACTTCCATTTCTTTTTCCAAAAAAGGTTTAAATGAAGGTCTTTGGTATGTTTACAATGTATTTTAGGCTTTATCACGAAAAAAAACTATTTTTGAAAATTCAAGATTGATGATCCAAGATGGCGGATATCTTAAATATGTATGACGTCATTTTATGACGTCCCCGGTGTTGCTATGAGCAACATAAGACTTAGTACACTCTAATATTCTGTCATAAACACTTTTGGTAAAGTTATGTTGAATACCATTTAGTTTTCAGGGAATAGCCTATCTAGACGGTTTTGGCCAATGAAATCCCATTAATGACGTCATAAGGACGTCATATTACGTCATAATGACATCAAAATTGTAGATATGATAAATTTTAACTAGTACACCATCCTCTGAAAATTTGGTAGCCATACGACATACCGTTAGCGAGTTCTGAGGGGGGGGCCAAAGAGCCCCCCCCCGGTCAAATCTTGCTCAAAAAAGCCCGGTCTAGATAGGGTTAAATAGAGGGTCTAAGCATGCTGACCTTTAATTCTATATTATGCGTTAGCTTGTTTACCTCTGCATACGGGAGTTTTGTTTTGGGTGTGTTTGTCTGTGTGTTTGTTTGTGTCCATGAGTGTCTGATAGCAGTAGATTGACTGAAAGAGGGTTTGGCTACATAATGGCAGGCAAGCTGTGTGTGTGTGTGTGGGGGGGTTATATCTAGTAGGCAATTTCATTGACAGCATTTTCCAGATTTGCTGATTTTTTTTTACTGCGCAAAACTGGTCAGGTTAACTTGGTCTTCGGGAACAGGTCAGCAGTGTACAGGCCATAGTTACAGCCTTGGTCACACATAGCCGAATATGGCCTCCCGATCACTGCCGAATGAGCTGTTCGTCTCTACCGATCGTCGGAACTCGATTTTCGAGTGACTTCGGCACCCGTCGGAACCCGCCTTCGGCACCCACTCGGAACTCGAAAACCTCCCGAGCTACAGCCTATGACCTAACCTTGTTTAGGAGCAAGATTGGCTGGAGTTCGGAGGTTAAAGTTCTGTATGGGTGTCACTTCGGCTGGGAGTTGTGGTGTAGACCATGTTTCTGTTACGACTGCAATGTCAGCTCCAGAGGTGCGCAAGATCGCTTGAAACTCACCCATCTTGTTTACAAGCGACCTGGTGTTGGTGAGTAACATTCTTGGTATGTTTCGTGATCGACAAAATGTTTTCTTCCCTTGTTCCGACCTGATTGAAATCAGATGTCCTCGTAAGTAACGTCATTTGATTGGCACCGCATCCCCCAAACCTGATTTACATGTGAATGTTACGGCTATAAGGAAGATGGCCGACAACCGTAGTGATTTTACGTACCGAGTTTCTCCCGGCTTTTTTTCCCCGAGGTCTGCTTCTCAGGCAAAGAATGACAGCCCTCCTTTGGAGGTAAGAATATCATTTTGCGTACCCTTATCTTAGTGTCAACTACCATTGTTTAGTCTCTACTATCGTGTAGTCACTACTATTTTTTGTTTGGTCCGTCCTACCATAAAACAAGGTACAGTAATCCACGAGGAGGCTGGCTTTGACTTGCTCTCTTGCCTGTGGGTCAACCGTCGGCACAGCACGTCGCAGACTCTTGAGGAAGTTCAGTGAGTAACGTAAGATCCCAGGGTACGCCATTGTTCCAGTAACCAGCAGGCCGTCACAGTTACTCAGTTTACAGGGTTCTAGCTAGGATTTAATTTTGGTGTAGTGGCACTGGCCGCATGTCGAGGGGGCGAAGCGACCGTGAGGGGGGGGGGTGCAGAGCTTTTAAAAGTTTGAGCTAAAAAAGAGGCCATTTGAGGGATACCCAAAGGGGAAAATGTTATTCTTAAGGTACATTCAATGTATCCTAGATTGGTGATTTTTCACATTTGATCTGGCATTCTTGAACAAAGAAATACAGTCACAATGCCCCTATGCTGTATTGAAATTGGCGTAGGTGGGGATTTAGCGTAGGGGGTCAAAATCATAGCGTAGGGGGCCCCTGGGCTACTTCGCGCTAGCTAGAACTCTGGTTTAATGGCGTGTTCGGGGGTCAAATTTGACTGAAATTTAGCAAATTCGATTTAATACGTATAGGTACGCGTGGCCTACATACGACCAGACTGCTTGGTTCGGAATGAATTATTACTATTATATCAGATACTACTGTACGAACTCTGATCGAGTCAAATTTTGACACCGAACACAGCTCATCTACTTTTTGTTGTTCAACGTACAGCCTTTAGCCAACATATTTACCATGATACGTGTCTTCTTCTTTCTATGTGCACAGGAACCTTGACTAGACCACGGTACAAGTACGTCATGAAGAAAAAAGATCAAGGAACAGGTCGAGAATTCAAAATGGCGGAAACAGGAAAAGTCAACTTGTTGTGGTGGGTGCTGCTGTGTCTGATCATTCTGTTTCTTCTGGATCTGAACGTGAACTTCACCGGACAGATGTGGGATCAGCTGGACATGGCGACATCTAAACGTCTTCAGAAGCAACGACAAAATTCAAGGTACCGTTTTTATTTTCTACAAGCAGATGTCTTACTTTTGTCGTGTTTGGGCTCGAATCCTCCATTCACCACCTCTTAGGAGGAAGTTCCAAGCTGAAAGATTCTTTCCCAGAACAGCATCACTTTGGAATAAGCTACCACGTGATTGTTTCCCTTATGAGTATAACCTTAAACTTTTCAAGTCTAAGGTCAACAAACATCTATCCTCACTGGCTGTACTGTAACCCAAAACATTTAGAGTGGCTCCCATGAGCCTTGTTTTGTGGTGACCTATGAAGTGATTAAAAAAAGTAGCGGTGGCGGTCGTCCTATGTTTTCTTTTTGACGTAGTATCTTTGGTTACACCAAGGACATTATACATAAGTGTATATAATGTCCTTCGTTACACAACCGATATCGTTGACAAGGATTTGCGATACTGTTTTGAGTAGGCAGCTGAATAATGTACGGTACATACCGGACTATTCCAACATTGTACTCAATTTGCTGTCTTAATATCGTGCTATGAATGTGGCCAGTCCTCCCAAAAAGTTAGCTCCTTCATCAATTCATAGAAGACTATCTGTATGTGAAAGAATTTGTAAATATTCTAGTGCAAGGGCTGTGGATGACGAAATACACTTTATCTCAAACTGTTCGCTTCATAACAACGCTCGAAATGAGTCGACTATTCAAACTTTTACAATTCATCCCGATTTCGCTAAACTTACAGACAAAAAAAAAAACTATTCTTCTTTCAACTTCCCAAAATACACACATTTGGAAAAGGTGATCGACATACCGTCTTCCATGGTTTACAGAAGTTTTAGTTTTAGACATAGCCATAGTTTTAGACAGATTCCTTTCATCATCATGACATGTAGATTTTAGTTATTCTATACTCTGTTTCAATGTTCCTTTATATTTGTAATTTGCAATTAGGCCACAGCAAGTAAATTTTATGGATGACTTCAAATCTAATGCGAGTGGGCGAAAAAAAACAAGGCGGGCTGAAAAAAAACAAGGTTCCTACATTTCAAAATTTTAACTAAATCATTGTACAAATGGTTTTGATTCAGTGGGAACATCACATATACACAGCCAACATCACAGCATCACTCTCTCTTCATAGTTATCTGTCATCCACCTTCCGGCATGACATCTTCGCCCACTGTCAGAAGGCAACAGAATTTCTTGGGTTTTTTTTCCAAAATCAGGCGAAAATTAATGCGCGTGCTGATGTCATCCATAAAAATTACTTGCTGTGATATTAGCCACCGGACATGAACCTGCAACTTCTATTGTATTAATCTTGTCTCCAGTGACGCAGTGTTCGGAGGACAAGGCCGACTTGTGACAGCGGCAGAGAACGTGACATCTCTCCCGTCTCTCCCGTCGGAACTCAGGACCATGGGACAAAACTGGAGCCTGTCGTCCGGGGACTCTTGCACGAAGCCTGTTACCAACTTTGTTTTTATCAAGGTACGTAGGGGCCATTTTGCAACAGTCTTTGAGGTAGCCACGTACAGAACAATTCGTGTTGGCTGCGAAGATCTTAAAAATTCATACCATAAGCATGGGGACAAAACATGCAGCTTTGAACACATGTTTTGGGAGTATCAAAATCAGATGTGGAAGTAATTTAGGTCAAAGCAATTATATATCTATCACGTTGACACTCAACGACAATTCGTTAGCTGCCACCTTAGGTACATGTAGCTTAAGGCAGTTAAACTAAGAAGAATGTATTTTGGCACAAAGATAGTTATTTGGCATAGTGACCTCAGCATACGATTTTTCGTTTTTTGGTGCAAAAATGTTACATAATGCCCCTTTAAGTATTTACAGTCTCTTGTCGGCTTGCACATTGTAGGTCCACAAGACTGGTTCAGACAGTACAGCCGTCATCTTGCTGAGGTTCGCCTACAACCATCACATGACCATGTGCTATGGAACCAACGGAATGAGACTTACTTTTCCCAGGTGAAAGACTTCTTATTGAAAAGTCCTCAACTAGAATATAACACCACGTTCCTCTGTCCAACCTCCACTAATATTTTAACGCCATTCATTATGAAGCAAGTTTAAACTGCAATTTCCAACAAAACAAATTGGACCCACCTAAATTTTCGACTGTACAGCCATCCCTCAACAGAGACGGGGGGCGCCTCAGACTTTCTGCAACCTATGATCCACTGCTCACGGAGTCATGTCTGTTATCTGCGTGATGTCACGGAAGCGGTGGATTGCTCATTCCTTGACAAAGACTGGAGTTGTACAGTCGAAAATTTGGGGGAGTCCAATTTGTTGTATTGGAAATTGAAGTTTACACTTGCTTCATACTGACTTCTACCAACAAAGATGAACAACTTTCAAGATAAAACGCCATTCAATTTGGATCTGAAATTTGTCAAGCCGCTTAAAATCTGCTCTTGTCTTACCAATATGTACACAGAAACAGGAGGAAGTATTCTCGAATGAGGTGCGAAATGTTACGAGTTAACTTTTTACTTCCATGAAAAATGGGGGTATTGTTTTTGGTAAATGAAATTATTGCAAATTCATGCCCGAGGGCTAATTGCAAGAACATAAGGGAACATTTGGTATAAGAACAGGCAATCAATACACAGGTTGTTTTTGGTATATGTGTGTGTGTGTGCGTGTATGTGTGTGTGTGTGTGTGTGCGTGTGTGTGCGTGTGTGTGTGCGTGTGTGTGCGTGTATGTGTGTGTGTGTGTTTCCGCATGACCCTGAGATCAAGTTCAGTTTTGCTGGGTTCAGTTTGTCCCAGAGTGAGGAAGTCATTTCAATTATTTGTACATCTTGTACAAATCTTTGCTTTCACATGTGTTTTTCATTACATGACCTCCTTGAGAGCTAACAGCTGCATGTGTTTTTGTTACATGATCTTAAGTTCACAGCTATTTCCCTTTCATGAGAAAGAAGGGGATCGCCAAAGGAGATTGAATACGGGAAATCATGACAAGTTCTTTGAGTAAATATTTGATGGTGGTCTGTGGTCTCAGAATTCTTGAAAGTTGGTAAGGCCATGATGATTTCATTATATGGATGACATTCATATGACCCCAAAACTGATGCGAGTGTGAGAATAAAAAAAGTTTAGCCCAACAAAAAGTTGTTTCCATTATGAAATCTGCGTGGTTTGAAGGTTGAACAAATGAGTGTTGTTTGGCGAATAATCTAGTTTTCAAATTCATTTCTTTACATTTTGTCTTTTTCGTTTGATTTTGGCATTCTACGACATTAGTATCGTTTTCCTATGGTTTTTCAACTTATGGTATATATCTGCCCATTTTGCAACTGTTTTGTACGATTTACACTATTGTTGAAAACATTTTTTTGGAAACGGCCGAAAATACATGCGAGGGTGGATGTCATCCATATGATCAAATCAACATGGCCTAATCGTAACGTCGTTTGAAATCAAAGTGACAAAAGTTGACTGAATTAATCAATATTGAAAAAAAAGTTGATTCTGTTCTTCTCCATTGATAGGACGGAGATATACAAGACTAACTGCGCTCGTTGGAAAGTGTTTGAGAATCGCTTCAATTTCCTCGTACAGCACACCGTCTTCAACAAGACACTGATGGACCGGATCATGACACCGGGAACTAGGTACATCGGCATCATGCGTGAACCTCTCAGCCATTTCCGTTCACAGTTCTTCTACTTTGAAAAGCCCCTACGCTACGGGTTAACGAAAAGTCGGAATCCGCTGGGAGACTTTCTGGATAACCCCGAGCGGTATGAACATGAGCTGGCACTGACGGAAAATATAGGGAGAAGTAGGGAGAGAAACAAGCAAGCTTACGTCATGGGTTTCCCGCCACATCTCCTCGGTACACAGGACACTAGGCTCATGGATAATCTAATCAAGCAGCTCGACCAATGGTACACCTTCGTCATCATCAGCGAGTACTACGATGAGTCTCTTGTCATGTTGAGGCGGAGGCTGTGTTGGGGTTTGTTTGACATACTACACGCCAATAAAAAGGTCAACAAGCAACACAATCGACAGGAATACGTCCCCCTCACGGTAAAACAGTTGGAGAATCATAGAAGAATCAACACCATAGACTTGAGAATGTACGACTTCTTCAACAGGACATTCTGGAGGAGCGTGGAACAGGAAACGCGAAAGGGATTCTGGGAGGAAGTGACGTACTTTAAGGAGGTAGTGAAGAGAGTCAACACTTTCTGCTCCAAACGTACGAAAGAGAAGCATTTAGAAATTCCTACCAGTAAATGGAACAAGCCATTCTCAGTCAATGGAGACTTTTGTGGAGGTTTGAGTCGGAATCCGAAAATATGGGCCAAGAAATTATTTGATCAGATGGTACAGAGTGTTAAGAAAAGACAACATCTATAAATGTTGCATGAAAGTAATTTGTTAACAAATGTACCTGAGAGCTAATTTATAAATAAAATTCCATTACCTTCGTCAAGAAGGTTGTGTATTGGATGCACCATATATAGGGGTTAGCGATTTTTGAACGAGTTATAACTTTGGGTGTGGGCTATGCGAGTCAGGAACTTGTGGAGGCAGTAATTTTTATGGATGACATTAGCGCGCGCATTAATTTTCGCCTGATTTTTGGAAAAGAAATTTTGTTGCCTTATGACAGTGGTCACTATGCCGAAAATGGGCAAAGATGTCTGTTGCCATGCCGGATGGTGGATGGCAGATAACTACTAGTATAAAGAGCGGAGACAAGAAAAGGCTCTGATTTAATGTTCTGTTTCTTACTTTGATGCAGTGATATGTGATGTTGGCTGTGTATATGTGATGTTCCTACTGAATAAAAACCATTTGTACAGTGATTGAGTCAAAATTTTAAAATGTAGGAACCATTTTTTTTTGGCCCGCCTTGTTTTCTGCGGAGGATGTCATCCATAAAATTTAGGTGCTGTGGCCTAAGGACGAACTGAACTGAACTGCATTTATCTTGAATTCATATTTGGTGGGTAGGGTGGGATCGGGATTGAATCAACTTCAATTATTGGTAATCTAGCGACTTTGTACGGTACTGCAGAGGTGTACCTGGAATGAATAATGACATCTCTTGTTATGGGCAATGGTCTTTATTTCAAGTGGGACATAGTAGGTGTTTGCATTATTAAATTAGATATCTGCGAAATAGCTGCTTTTTGTAAAAACTGCTGTGGCCTTTTATGTCGGAATTTCCCCAGACAGGCTAACTTCTGATGTTGTGGATATTTTTCATAATACTTTGTAGGTAGGTTGGTGTGGGAAATACGAAGGTCAAGCTCGATTATGGGCATTCTAGTGGCTTTTCAAGATGGTTGCACAGAAAGTCACACAGGCGTGTGTGCCGTGGCCATTTGCCAGAGGGTAATTAGTGAATAATTAAATAAAATACAGTCACAGTAGTGATGAAATTACATCTACTAGTATGCCAGTATCTTGCCGTATTTTTTTATACATTAGGTTTGGTAAATAGTCTTCAGTTATGGACCAAATATGTTGTAGAACTAATAAGGTTTTCTTCAACTTGCAACCGAACGTATGGGGTCTTGCTGTGCTTTTCTGGACCTGAACATCATTTGCGTGACAAGTGTTGGTTTACACATATGTTTGAACAGATAACAGTAAGTCCACTTTGCCTTAATTTTATGGATGGCATCCGCCGAAGATCCCAAACTAGTGCGCACGTGCAATAGAAAGAATTCCACCCCAAAAATGCTGCTAAACCACAGGAATACAAAGCTGGTATTGTGAATTTGCGGTAGTACATACTATTAGTAACCTATACGACAAGCCGACACATGCTGGCCTTTTGTGGCATTCATGGGTCGGAACGGAGTTCTGGAGTTCCGTGAGCCTGGGAGGAGGTATTTTTTTCAAAGAGGCGAAAATCAATGCGTGCGCAATCCATACAATTGGACCAGTGTGGTCTAATATCAATAAAAACATGACCCTGACCTTCTCCAAATGCTTGACCCTGCCTAAGTCCGCTCCTGTCTGTCCCGCCACACGTGTGTGATCAACCCGGCCTGCACGGTGGGAGCCTCTCATCACCTGTACACACACATGGAACAAACACTAACGGAGATCTAACAAAACAAACAAACAAACAAACAAACAAACAAACAAAGTTTGTCTGTCCCGCCACACGTGTGTGATCAACCCGGCCTGCACGGTGGGACCCCCGCATCACCTGTACATACACATGGAACAAAGACTAATGGAAATCTTACAAACAAACAAACAAACAAACAAAGTATGTCTGTCCCGCCACACGTGTGGGATCAACCCGGCCTGCACGGTGGGAGCCTCTCATCACCTGTACACACACATGGAACAAACACTAATGGAAATCTAACAAACAAACAAACAAACAAACAAAGTATGTCTGTCCCGCCACACGTGTGTGATCAACCCGGCCCGCACGGTGGGAGCCTCACATGGAACAAACACTAATGGAGATACTAACAAAACAAACAAACAAACAAACAAAATATGTCTGTCCCGTCACACGTGTGTGATCAACCCGGCCTGCACGGTGGGACCCCCGCATTACCTGTACACACACATGGAACAAAGACTAATGGAGATCTAACAAAACAAACAAACAAACAAACAAAGTATGCCTGTCCCGCCACACGTGTGAGATTAATCCGGCCTGCACGGTGGGAGCCTCTCATCACTTAGGCCAGTACACACGGGGAGGTTATGGACCAAACACCGATGAAGATCTTAACAAAACAAACAAACAAACAAAAACAAACAACAAACAAAGTGTGTGTTTGTCCCGCCACACGTGTGTGATCAACTCGGCCTGCACGGTGGGAGCCTCTCATCACCTGAACACACACATTTGGAGAGGTTATGGAACAAACACTAATGGAGATCTAACAAAACAAACAAAGAAACAAACAAAGTGTGTGTGTGATAAACCCGGCCTGCACGGTGGGAGCCCGACACTTATACATGGTTCAATGTATGACAACAACAATTGAACATAGTACAAAAGAGAAGGGTATAAAATGAAACTTCAAGTGCTAATATAATATACAATGAAACAAACAAACAACTAGAGTTCCACGATCTCATACCTTCGCCAAATGATGTTAGCCTTTATGAATAAGAAATATACTAATCACCCTGATTATGCAAATAGGATCCTCAATTGCATGAATTATATCAGTCTGTTGATCATATTCTCCACCAAAAGACAGTCTTATCTTAACAAAGAATGCCATTTTCTCATAAATTATGCAAATGTGGTCCTTATTTGAATAAGTTATGTTTAATTATGTTCACCTTCACTTAACTTTCAAACACCCCAAGTATGAAATTCCAGGCAGTTACCACTATGCAATTATAACATTTTCTCATTAATTATGCAAATTAAGTCTTCATTTGCATAATCGATATTTGCCTGTGTTTCTCTCGTTCTTAATAACATGTTACAAGCTTGAACTTCCTATCATGGAATGCAGCTGATTTATAGAATTTCCTCATTAATTATGCAAATTACATCAATATTTGCATAATTGTAATATCATTATGTCAAGCATCACTTAAGCTACCTACATACCAAAAATACACGATGATCCATCAATCGGTTCTTGCGTTATCCTCTTTTAACATCTGTCCTTTAAACCCCCTGCAGTTCTAGAGCAAGCAACTAGGGGGCTCATACTCATGTCACTTCATCCCCAGCACAAGAGCTATACTACCATTTAAAATTTCGTCACCCTAGCATGTCTGGATCATGAGATATCAAAACCGGAAGTTCTGCTGCAGTACCATGACAAGCCGCCAGGTGGCCCAAAATCTAATCATTTTGAGGTCTCACCAAGACCTACCCCCCTACCAAATATCAAGTCAGTCCATTCAAGCCTTCTCAAGTTATCGTGTTGACAGACACACACACACACACACACACACACACACATACACGAACGCCTCTGAAAACATAACCTTCTTGGCGAAGGTAACAACAACAAAAACAGTATGTCCCTTTTTTTTCCTGTACCAACCTGAAGACAGCCGTTGTTCTTGTCAGCTCTGTCCATAGCAATGAACACTGTTCCCATGTCCGGAAACAACAGGCCGTTGTTGTACCAGTATCTAAATAGTTTAAGCAAATAGTAGAAAATATTATTTATATCATGATAACCAAGCTACTTCTCTTTGAAAATCTTTGGAATGTTTCGATCATCTTTAAGGACATTACTTGTATGTAACATTTCTGCACAAAAAATATAACATTTCTGCACAAAAATGCATTAATTTGAATATTTCTGTACGCTTGTAATTTATTTGCATTTTTCAACATGTTTGAGCAATTATCTCACATTTCTAATATTTATGGCTGGCGCAAAAACAGCCCACACGAGGCTCACTTATTTTGTGGTGCCACCACAAAATACCAGAATGTAAACAAACTTGGCTGACATCTGTGTTTCCAGCTTTAAAACTCAGGCGTCATATTTTGGCACCTCCACTTCCCGAATGACACTTATTCGCAATGAAGTAGGGTTGATTCAACGTACTTTGTACAGAAATGAGCACAAAAAAATCACCTTTTTATCGTTCCAATCATGTTACATAATGCAGCTTTAAAATTTTTTTGTACTAGTCTAACTCCCCACCACACGATGAAATTTATCCAATCACCAATGGCATCTATACGAGACTTGTGCTGCCGTGAAATGTTTCATCAGGTTGGTAAGACACTGAGTAAAGAGACTCTTTTTAAGTCTTTTTAAACAGCCGACGTTTCGGTGACCGTCTGCCACCTTCCTCAGGGCAATTCTGACTGGTTCACATTGCATTGCAGCACAGGTGTCACTGCTATAGATGCATTCCCAAACGTTCTGCCCCGAGGAAGGTGACAGACGGTCACCGAAACGTCGGCTGAATAAAAGACTTGGTTGTGTAAAAAGAGTCTCTTTACTCAGAGTTATACTGTCATTTAGCATGTATCAGTTTCAAAACGTACTGTTGAAGCCATAACATATGGAAAGCAACTGCTTATTTTGCAGTGTACTGTATGTTGACACCTTGTTACACCTAGTAAGGCCACACCGCCTTAATTTTATGAATGACATCCTTTGAAGACCCCAAAACTAGTGCGCGCGGGCGAATAAAAAAAATTCCAGCCAAAAATAAAAATTATCCTAAATCACAGGAATACAAGCTCAGGTATTGTGAATTTGCGGCAGTACTTAGCGACGTATATGACAGGCCGGCAGGTGCTGGCTTTTTGCGGAATTTATGAATCGGCACTGTACATGTGTGTTTGTACTGAGCTCTTGCCGTCAAGGAGCTTCGGCAGCCTGGGTGCCATCCTAAAGAGTTACCACCGGCTCCGTATTGTCACTAACTACCATGGACTACCCTGGCCTAGAGCCTGGAGGTAGGACGTGATCTTTTCTTTTTTGTTTTTGGAAAACAGGCGAAAATCAATGCGCGCGCGGATGCCATCCCTAAAATTAAGTCGGTGTGGCCTAAACAAACTCACCCATAATCCTGGTGCCACAAAAACGCCCCTCCCTGCTCTGGCTCCTTAATGTTCACCTTAGCGTGGTACTGGTAAACTTCTCCTCCAAGGAGCTTGACAAGAAACATAGATATCGTTTGTTAATACATATATCAAAGGAATATAAAACAATCACAGATGGAGAATTGGCTTACAGGGAAATAGAAAACGACTTCATACTTTCACCATACTTTAACCTTTACAACTGATATCGATGGATAATGAATGTCATGATTATGCAAATAAGGTCCTTATTTGCATAAATTAGATTATCTGATCATCTTCTGCTCCCGAATAATGGGAGTTGTTCAATCACAGTGTTATCGTAAGAAACAAGACTATTCTAGTATCACCTAATCATTTATGTCCTGATTTGCATAATTTGTCTTTGACGATGTTCACCAAATGCCACAAGAATAAAATTCCTGCCATTCGCCACTCCATTTACATAATCTATTTCGTTGTTGTTTCTCTCATTCTCTGTTACATATGTCACATGTTTAAAGAATCCTATCATGAAATGCAGGAGATTTATGCATTTTCGTGTAAATTATGAGGCTCGTAATTTGCATAATTGCTTTCTATTACCCTCTAATTCACCTTTTCAAACGTTCCCGCCACTTTATTACTGCGTGCAATGATGCCCGTGACGTCGTTCCCAGGGTGTTTCCAGAGACAGACCTTCACGAGGCGCCCGGTGTCGTCTGCAGAGTGGAACGCGTTAGACAACATCCCGCCATCAGCGCCCCCTACCGTCTGACGAAGTTTCTCCACCTCTTCCGCGTCCAGCAAATTCCTTAAAGGCACCCAATGCAATTTCGGGACAGCAATAACAATACTCTTGATGAAGAAATCTTGTCTAATATTGAAATTTACAGTCATTTCAGATTTTCATCATCATTTCATGCCTAGAGCACCTGAAATAGCCCCATAACATGCACAGCCTGGTTAGAGCTATAATAGGTTTGGTAACCAGGCTACCCATAACAAGCTACGTGAGGAGTTCCTTTATTTTGGTACCACCAATAAATAGATCCCGCCCAGAATACGAAACAACCAACAGTTTTTCCGACAGCGACATCAAACTTTAAATTTGCCTCGTGGATATCAGTACGCTATGCATATATGGAACAGGATTGATTCAACTAGTAATTCTAGATTGACCAGAAAATTGACTTTGGAAAATACTCTGGAATTGTATTGGATGGCTTTAACATTGGATTTCTCTTCTAATCCCGCCCCATGTGTGTTTCAGTGTTGCTGTGTGCTTCATTTTCGAGGACGAATATTGCAAAGAGGTTTCAAGTTCATACATTCTTTCTCGTTCCCAATTACATATGTCGAGTTTGGTTAGTCCTATCTTGGAATAAGTCAGATTTCAGAATAGAATATCCTCATTAATTGTGTAAATTAGATTCTGTAAATACAAACGTTGCAAATGAAAAATGGAGTTTGTGGGCCTTGGTTAGTTCGCTAGATGTGGAAAACTACTGGCTGTGACCGCGAGCTCTCTGACCTTGCGACCGTCACACCCCGATCCTGACAACAACCTGTTCAGCACGTCTTAACCCTCAAACACCCGAACGTATATTTTTATGTGCTATTTGAATTCTTTTTTTATTCTAAAAAAAAATTCCTCCCGTGACTTTGTCAGTAAACCTCTTCTACAAGTTCTCCTAAATTTTTTGGAGATCGGCACAAATTTGTAAAAATAACGGAAGTCGATACCCGAGCCAAGTATTGGCACTTTCCTACACACAAAATTGTTCGGATGTCCTCAATATGTCTTCAAGGAAGCATTATTGCTTTAACAATATGTAGTTTGCCAAGTAACCTCAACCTCATGCATTATTTCATCAGGTTTTTAGAGGTTTGACATTTTGACAATCATATGAGGTCAAAGGTCAACCCCATGTTCATGCCTGCGGGCCTCATCCTATTTTTGCATAAATTATGATAATGAGCTGGAATTTTTAATACTTAATCATGCCAAAATAAACATATTAATATGTTTAACCAATATATGTGCAAAGGTCACTGAAAGGATGCTAAAAGGAATATAAATTTGAAAGAAACCAAAGGGGGTCCATTTGGACCCCGTTCGGGCATTAATGTCACATTTAAAGTTCGGGTGTTTGAGGGTTAACTCAGGCACATGTGTCAGACTGTGCACACTCTGACTTTTGACCTAGATCTCTTAAATAGCAGAGAACGGTGCGAAGGTTCACAGGGTCACAGTTCACACCGTGTTAATCAATTTACTAAACAGACTGTTTTCTGCCAGGGAGGTTCAAACAGTCTGACAGGTCCTGGCCCTATAATATGGCGTTGGGGTCACACAAAGGTCAGACGTAAATAAAAGCATAATATATAAGCCACATAAAGCTGACAAAACAGATTTTTCCAATACAAAAAATCGTGTCAAGATATACTTCTACACATAACCTAGGTACACTTACCGTACAATAACAAACCCGTCCCGGTCAAAGTCCTCCTTCATCTCTGGCGACACGTCATACTCCCCGGCCTTGTATGTGTATTCTTTAAAACAGAGACAAGTCAATACATATCAGCCTGACTACAAAAATACAAGAGTCCACGGATTGCAGGAAAACACCACTTTGCCTCCAGATTTTGCAAATGCAACTAGTTTAGCGTGCCACCTATCCAATCTCCAGCCTATGTGCCAGACTAGTTACTGTTTCCAGGGTCTGCACGGACCAGTTCCTCGGCTCCAGGGCCAGCGTGCCCCCGGCCGTGGAAAAGAGATCGTTAAAGTGATATATCGAAAAGTCAAAGGATTACAGTTGCAGAATTCGTACAATTTGATGTTTATGACTGCTGGTGAATCCAACTTACCGCACGCTGCCATGTTGTGTTTTACTTCCCCTGGTGCAAACGATCTGTGACGGTGTGAACTTTGACTAACCTCCGCACAGCTCTCTACTGTACATGTTTGACAGATATAGGTCAAAAGTCAGACGGTGTACATGTGTGAGTAGATACACAGCTAGACGTGCCCTACAGACTGTTTCTGCAACCTGCGTGTTCAGGATTGGCGGGGAGGGGGGGGCTTCCAAGGTCAAAGA